GGCTCGGGGCGGCCGCGCTGGGACTGGCCGCCGTGGCGCTGGGGACGGCGGCCTGGCGCCGCGCGCGCTCCAGGCGGCGCCGGCGGCTCCAGCAGGTGGGCACCGTGGCGCAGCTCTGGATCTACCCGGTCAAGTCGTGCAAGGGGGTGCCGGTGAGCGCGGCGGAGTGCACGGCCTTGGGGCTGCGCTGCGGCCACCTGCGGGACAGGTAGGGCCGGGCCCGGCCGGGGCTGCGCGGGACCTGCTCGGGACGGGGTGGGGCGGGGGCCGCTCGCGGGAAGGGATCTAGAGGTTTGCCTCTTGCGTTTCCTGGATTGTTGGTTGGATGCTTTGCCTTTGATCCTTTAGCTGGGAAGGTCAGTTCATGTCTGGTTCAGGTTTGGAAAATTAGGTAGGGGCAAACCCTACCTGAAACCTCTAGATGAGAGGTTCCTCCTCTGTAGAAGGACGGGGTCTGACCTGGTTATCTTCAAGTCTCCCGCTAGTTCTAAACTTTCTGATTCTATCTTAGTCTACGGCCCAGTAGTAGAAAATAAAATGCTGTGAGCACACGTGGGCAGACAGCGGCAACGCTGAAAGCAAGTCTCGTTCAAGGACACTGGCTTTGGTCTTGCTGGAGTTTGCTCTTGCCACGTCTCTCTCCAGTCCTGGAGCAGGTGCCTAGGAGACTCGGGGTGAGGGGGGCGGAGACTTGATCCACTTTCATAAGTAATGAGCAGGGTGAAGTTTTGTGTTGGGAAGAGGGGATACCTGGGGCACTGCAAATGTAATATTTGCCATTAAGAGAATAGTGTGTCCCCTCTCCCCAGAAGCAGAGTGGTCCTTAATGAAGAATTCTGGGGAAAGTCTCTACCCACATAAGGCCCCGCATATGGAAAATTCCATTCATCTCCCTCAGAAAAGAAAAGGCGTCCTGTCATTTAACTCATCCCAAAGGTCAGGCTACAGACACATATTCCCGGACACAGAATTATGCAGCTGGATATCTGGAAGACTCACTTGATGGTGAAGAATGCAACATTCTAGAAAGAGTGAACAAAGAAGAACAGAATCCCCTTCTTTGGTTCATTAGGGTTAAGATGCCTTCCTATCTGGCTGGGGTGGTTTTGTTGTGGTTCTTTGTATTCAGAGGGAGGGGACGTTTGCCAGGTGGTCATTCAAAGAATCTTCTAGCAGAGACTATCTGCTGCCCTGAGTTACTCCAGGACACATGTATTCACTCTTCTCAGCTGTCTTCTTTAAAAAAATGTGGACTCTCACAGCTTTGAAAAACTTCAACTTGTTTTAGAGAAATGTTGTGTATGCAGACCATGTAACTCTTGGGCGTTTTCCATCCTCCGCTCCAGATATCTAATCCCAGACGGATTTTTGTGTTTTGTTTTTGCTTTTAGTAATCTCTGCCCTCAACGTGGGGCTAGAACTCAGGACCCTGACATCAAGGTCACATGCTCTACCAATTGAGCCAGCCAGGCGCCCCTAATCCCGGAGAGGTTTTATTTATTTATTTATTTATTTATTTATTTTTATTTATTTAAATCTATACTTTATTCAGATTTTCTTGGTTTTCCCCTAATGTCCTTTTTCTATCCTAAGATCCCAACCAGGATACATTTATAATTATATTTGGATGTTGTGACTCCTTGGGCTTCTCTAGACTATAATGCTTTCTCAAGCTTTTATTGTTTTTTGATGATCTTGAGAGTTTTGAGGAATCCTGAGTGGACATTTTGTAAAGTGTCCTTCAGTTTGGGTTTGTCTGATGTCTTCCTTATGGTTGACAGGGATTATGGGTTTTTAGGAAGAAGAGCACAGAAGTAAAGTTCCATTCTTCTTGTATCATATCAGGAGTACACAACTTATCAACAGAACTTTTTTTAAAAGTTTTTATTTAAATTCCAGTTAGTTAACATACAGTGCAATATTAGTTTCAGGCTTACAATACAGTGATTCAACACTTCCATACAACACCCGGAGCTCATCATGACAAGTGCCCTCTTTAATCCCCATCACCTATTTAACCCATCCCCCCCACACCCTCCCTTCTGGTGACTGTCAGTTCTCTATAGTTAAGAGTCATTGTTTCTGAGAAACAAACTGAGGGTTCTAGAGGGGAGGGAGGTGGGGGGATGGGTTAGCCTGGTGATGGGTATTAAGGAGGGCACGTATTGAATTGGAGCACTGGGTGTTATATACAAACAATGAATCATGGAACACTACATCAAAGAATAAATAGGAAAAAATATTAGGATTTTTAGGGAAAAACAGAATTTAGAAAACAGACATGTATATAGAAAATTAAGATGTCATTTCAAATTAGATGTCTTTAAAAAAAGGGTGTATAGTGATATGTTACCCGTTAAAATATCAAGTTAGATCTCTATTTCAAAACTTCAGATGGATTAAAAGCCTAAATGTAAAAAATAAAGCTATAAAATTAAAAAAAAAAAGTCATTGTTTCTTGGGATGCCCGGGTGGCTCAGTTGGTTAGGTATCTGCCTTCGGCTCAGGTCATGATCCCAGGGTCCTGGGATCGAGCCCCGCATCGGGCTCCCCCTGCTCTGTGGGGAGCCTGCTTCTCCCTCTCCCACTGCCTGCCACTCCGCCTTCCTTTGCTCTCTCGCTCTGTGTCAAATGAATAAATAAATTCTTAAAAAGTCTGTTTCTTGATTTGTCTGTTTCTTTTTCCCTTTGCTTCTTTGTTTTGTTTCTTAAATCCCACCTATGAGTGAAATCATGTGGAATGTGTCTTCCTCTGAATGACTTATTTCAGGAGAGGAGTGAGTGACCAGGAGGAACTGTAACATTTAATGAGCCACTGGAGAGATTTTTAAAACTTGAATTTCCTGAGAGTCCCATCCCGGACCTATGGAATCAGAATCACCCAGAGTGAAGCCACCCTGTGTGGTGTTAAAGTCTCCCCAGGTGAATCTGTTGCTATAATTAAAGGGTGGTATCTGGGGCCATTAAGAACGAGAAGAGCATGTTTAGAAGTTATTCAAGTATGAAGGATTAGAAAAGCCTTCCTACTGCTGGGAAAACTTTAGGCACAGGGGTACTGGACACCCTCCAAAAACTGGGAGAAGCAAATTCTCATGGTGCACATCTAGAGAAAGTCACCTTGTGCTACTTCCTTCCCCACTTGAAGGACTGAAGTTATTTCTCAGATTTCCAGTTCTTATCTGTGTCTCTTCTGATCATCTGAGTGACTATTTTTCCACTTCTCATTGTCACTACTTTGCTGTGATTATTGCTTTTGTGGAAAGAAAGGATTTGTCCTTTGCTTTTCTGTTTCCATGGGTATCTTAAAATAAATGGAACTGTATCCACTAACCCTTGTTTTGAACACTAAATGCTTGGGATGGGGTGGTGGGGCATGGAGATTGGGAGGAGACCGGGCAAGGCAGTGGGATGCACATGGATTCGGTGCCTCATGTGCCTCGGACACTGAGCTGAATCCTGTCACATGGATGACCTTACACAAGCCTCGGCACCGTCCTGTGGGCTAGATGTTATCTCCACTCTGCAAGTAAAAAACGGCAGGATCAGAAAGGGTGAGTGTCTCACCCAAAGCAGTTATGTGCTGGAGGGGTGTGAACTCAGATCTCTGTGGGTACAGCAGTCATGCACTTTTTATGAAGCCAGGGTGATTTAGAAGAGTGAGGATTGCACAGAGGATCAGGAGACCCGCGCACAGTCATCTAAACTTTCTGAGCCTCATTTTTTTTCATTTACAAAAGAAAGGGCTTGGACTTGATGATCTCAAAGACCCTATTTCATCTAGGTTTTATTTATTAAAGGATAATTGAAACTCGGAAGAAAGCTAGAAAGAACTCTGCTAAATGACTGCTATTCTCTCAACTTAATGAAACTACAAACAGCCTGGAATGCAGGAAAAGGCCCCTTGGGTTTAACTCCATGTCGAACCATTCTTTGGAACCATTCTAAGAAGCTGGGCTCTTTCTTCATAAGGGCTCTGCCCTCAGATTTCTAGAACTATTTTGTTCAAAGCTCTTAACAAATTTGTGAATGTTTGGCTTGGGCACCCTGGACTTTGAGCTGGTTCAGAGTCCGCCTAGCAGAACGCTGCATTGCCTGATTGGCACAGAGGGTGGGAGGGTTGGCTGCCCTCCTTGACCTTGTAAATCCTGCTCTTCTTAGTGGGTATATATTTGACTCCATGGGTCCTAAATCTGCCCTAGCCCTTCCAAAGGCAGCCCTTGATGTTTTCTGCACCGACTTCCTGGAGAAATGAGTTCTCTAAGTGTATCATCCTGAGCACATTACCCTCTGGCTGTCTGTGGCGGGCTCCCTGCTCCCCTGTCCCCTTTTCAGGCTCTGGCACTTCTGCTTCCCAGACCAATTTCTAAGTTTAAACATGAGGTTTTCCAGCTGTCCTGGGCTCTGCTTCCCCCCCTCCCCCCCCGTGATCACTCGGAGCACTGTTCTTTTGGAGGACCTGAGCCCTGGCCTCTGCACTGATTCTCACACCGCACACTCCTGCTTTAGGGGTAAAAGTAAGTTTGGGGACAACTTGGTTGTGAAAAATCCACACTCCAGACTTACTTTCTTTCAGATCTGGCAGAACAGAGATAATTACTCATTCACTGGGCATCATTTGTATGCAAGAGATGACAAATGCCATGACCCCATTGGGCAAGGTAATGAGAGTGGTCGGGGTCTGTTATAGGCAGCAACTTTTTATCTTTTATTGGTGTCTCTGTCCTATCCCGGTGTTAGACCACCTGCAAGCTGCCACTTGACTTTCCACTTGGCAGCAGCTAGCACAAAACGTCCAGCCCCCCTCCCCTTCTCACTGTTAAGGCCCAGGGGTTAACTCCTATGCTATTAAACAGCAGACTGGAGCTCAGGGCGGGGCGTGTGAGCCCCAGTGAAGGGCTGGGGTGGAGGTGGATGGGGACAAGGAGACTCAGCCCAGGGAGGGACTCAAGGTCAGAAATAACATGCAGATTCCTGTTGGGACATGTGTCTGGCTGGGTGCAGATCTCCGAGGGAGTCCCGTTGGGTACTAGGGCATGTTGGAAGTTTAGGGTGCAGGCTTTGGGAGGATGAAGCAGAGCAGGGTCATCCGGAAGTCTGTACCCAGGGATGGGGCTGAAAATAGGAACAGGGCCCAGCCCCGAGGGAATGGGGCAGTAACAAAGTTACAGGAATGCCCTTGGTCACAGAAGCCCCTAGGCGAGCAGGCCAGACAACCCTGGGAGCCAAAGGTGGCTTCTCAGAGAGATGGGGGCCTGCCCCTGCCCAGCATCACCAGCCCTGGGGTGGGAAAAACCAAGACGATTCCCGAGACGCCTTTGTACTGCCATACCTCTGCCGCTGTACCCTGACACCAACACACCTACCGGTTAGCGGGCCCGGTGGCAGGGACGGGACACCTCCTAGGGTATGGTGAAGGCCGAGACAGAGCTGCCTGTCCTCTGGAATCAGACAGCCTCATCAGCTTAGGGCAGGCGTTCCCACCTGGTTCCAGTCGTAGTTGGCAACTTCTCCCCTAGAGGAGGCACCCCTCCTTCAGGAAGGGTCTGCGGTCGGTCCCTTCCATCCTGCTCCCGTTTGGGAAGCCCGGGCTTTCGGCAGCTTCTCGTAAGCCAATGCCTGCAGCCTTTGTCACACGCTGCTCTTGTGTTCTGTCTCAGATGGTGGCATCGAAACTTACTTTCTCCAGGGGGAACAGCGCTTTTTAAATACCTTTTAGTCGTCAAATCGTGCTATGCTCCGCTGTAGATAAAAGTGTAACCGACCTACCCCGGCCAGGCTCCTTCCCCTTCCCGGGAATGCTCAGCCCTTCCCCCCTCGGGATAGGATGCAGCGTGACAGCCGAGCCTGGAACAGCGGGCTCTCTAGAAGTAAGCGGAGTTCTGATCTAACTCACGGTGTGTGGGCATCTTCGTTCTGAGTCAGAGCATGCGCACGAAGAGGGGAGGCTGTGTGGGGGTCTCCTGATGTCAGACCTGCGAGCCACAGCAGGTTAGATGGAGTGGAGGCCTGTTCGCATCCTCCGGCCTCCCGAACGTCACAAGACCCCGTCCAGGGTTCTAGTGCACTTGGGCCGGGAGTTCGGGCCCCATCTTGTTCCACAGCAAAAAGACCTGGAAGACGTTTTGCTATGGGTTTAACAGGCGCGGGGAAATTTCTGACTGCAACAAAGCCGCACACTAAGCATCAGGATTCCCTAAGCAGCGAGGGAAGGTCCTTTAAACCAGCCTCATTTTCTGCATTTTCGGAACTGGGGATTTTCATACATTGGCCAGATGTTTTCTCCGAGGGCTGTTTCTTCCAAAGAAGCTGCTTTTAGGGGCACTAACTTTTGGATCCAAAGAATTTGACCAGATCGGGGTAATTGTCTAGAAAAATATTGTTGGATCCCGAGTCTGGGCAGGGGAGAGGGTCTGATGAAATAGGAAGCTAGAGGGAAGCCTTTGAGAGGGTGGAAGAGGCTTTTCTGAGCATGTTCGTGTTTGTTCCTCGGCAGGTTTTGGCTGGTGATTAAGGAAGATGGACACATGGTCACCGCCCGGCAGGAGCCTCGCCTGGTGCTGGTGTCCATCACCTGTGAGGGCGACCGCCTGATCCTCAGGGCTCCGGGCATGGGCCAGCTGGCTTTGCCGAGCAAGCTGCCTTTCTCAAACAAGCTCCGTGATTGCAGGTGCTCTGCTTGGGGCCCCTGGGGACCTGATGTGATTTTTTTTTTTTTTTTCCCCTGTAGGCTTCTCCCTGCACCTGTCTTGCTCCAGTGTGTATAGTAGGTGATGCGTTTGGTAAAGGAAATATTTCAGAGAAGTCTGGCCAGGGCTGGGATCGATCCAGTGGTGGGGGGTGAGTGGGTGAGGCAGAGTACTGTTTTAAGGGTCCCTGGGATTTGTTTTACTCAGGTATGGTAAGGCATGCAGAGGGGCAAATGACCGTGATGAAGAAAGACGGACGTTTTCTATATTCACGGGTCCCTGGGAACAGGAGGCTTGGCGTGTCATGCGGGACCACACAGAGGAGCAGCAGGGGTGGGCTGGGGTGGGGTGCGGGGTTGGGGAGACTTGGAGGGGGGGAACGAGAGCCTTTTTTTAAAGATTTTATTAGAGAGAGAGAGAGAGCATGCACATGAGCAGTGGGGAGGGGCAGAGGGAAAGGGAGAAGCAGACTCCCTGCTGAGCTGAGCAGGAAGCCCGATGGAGGCTCAATCCCAGGACCCCAAGATGATGACCTGAGCCGAAGGCAAATGCTTAACTGACTGAACCACCCAGGTGCCCCTACAAGAGCCTTTATTGTGGTTTCCACAGGAAGTCCCAGGCAGGGCGGGTTAAACAGCTTCAGGGTTGGCTAGTTTGAGTAATTTCAGTGGGCTCTGGGGCATAGAGGCTGTCTCTGGGTGCCTGGTACCTGGCCCTGGGCGATTAGGGCCGGGGACAGTGGCCTGGCGTGACAGAGCCCAGAGAGGAGGTGGTGGAGGGTGGGGGCTCTGGATTGGTGGTCGTGCTGTCTAAAGGTGGGTGGTTTCCTACCTGTAGGAATTGATTAGCCCTGGGAGGGGCAGTTCCTTCCACATCAGCAAGGCCCCAGGATGCCAAAGCATCAAGAATACAGGAAACGCAAAAGCATGATTAATACCTATAGAGAGAGGGGGTGCCAAGGGCCAATCTTTAGAGTTTGTCTCTGTTTATTCAAGTTGGATGGACTTCTATTCAGCATTGCCAGCCCCCGAGCCAGGCAGACAAGGCAGTTAGTGGAGACTACCAGCCATATCTCAGGGTTGGGTGAGAAGGCCCTAGAACTTTTCAAGGTGACTGCAGCCTCTCAGGTCTCTGGCCCGAGGCAGATGTAGGAGATTCCCACCTCTGGCCTGGATATGCCTCAGTCCTGGGCTTCCTTTCAGTCTGTAGGACCCCTGCAGGGCCGTCAAATTCCTTGGCTCCCTGGGGGTCTTGTCCTGTGCTATGGGGAAGTCCTAGAGGCCTGGGTACCTGTCTTGGGGTGCTCTGGATCCCTCTGTAACACCTGAGCATTTTCAGCTTGTGGAGATTGGAGTTGTCCGCCGGTCCCAAGGCTCAGAGGAAGGCCACAGATTGTTCCTTGTGCCCTGATTGTATGCTTTTTCAAGCAGAGTGTCTGAGCTGAAATCTGTCATTCAAGGTTCTGAAATTTCAAAAGCCTGAAATAATAATTCATCGAATATAATATTTTAGCTAATTATCTCCTCAAGCTCATGAGGTGGATATCATTAATTCTACTTCACACCAGGAAAACAGGACTCGTATCATGTCATGCAGAGCTGGGATTTGAACCCTCCTGCCTCCCAGTGTTCGCTCTTAATGCCTATGCGCAGGGAGAGGAAAAGCTTTGCTGTATAGGATTTGATTAATATTTATTCTTTGAGAACTTTCCAGCAAAACTGGATTTTCTTTGTAAAAATCCATTCAAGGGGGCGCCTGGGGGGCTCAGTCAGTTAAGTGTGGGACTCTTGGTTTCCGCTCAGGTCGTGGTCTCAGGGTGGCATTGGGCTCTGTGCTCAGCAGGAGTTTGCTTCTCTCCCTCTCCCTCTGCCCCCCTCTCTCTCTCAAAATAAATCAATAGATCTTTAAAAAAAAACCATTCCAGGCTTTATGTCTTAAGTATTTTAAATTTTAAACAAAATTTTACTTTTTATGCTTAGTAATTATCAAAATTTTAACTCATTTTGTTGTGACCCATTGTACACAAATAAAAATTGTCATGATAACTCAGTCCTGAAAAAATTTCTTCTCCTTTAGAGCCTTAAGAAACAGAAAATTTAATTGGTTAAAAAGTGATCAATAACCATAAAATTATGTAAGAGAAATAACGTGTACATCTGTATTCAAGAATAAAAAGAGGAATGACATAAAAATGTGGGCTATTAAAGTAGACCTTAACCGTAACCATATATTTTATTTATTTCTAGTTTTTCATTTTCTAAAGATTTTATTTATTTATTTGAGTGAGAGACAGAGACCATGAGTGGGGGGAAGAGCAGAGGGAGAAGGAGAAGCAGACACCCTGATGAGCGGGGAGCCTGATGTGGGGCTTGAACGGGGACCCTGAGATCATGACCTGAGCTGAAGTCAGATGCTTAACCCACTGAGCCATCCAGGCACCTTTTAGCCATTTATTTTATTTTATTTTTATTTATTTACTTTTTAAAAGATTTTATTTATTTGAGAGAGTGAGTGAGAGAGCATGAGCATGGGGAGGAACAGAGGGAGAGGGAGAAGCAGACTCCCTGCTGGGCAGGGAGCCCAATGTGGGGCTCGATCCCAGGATCCTGGGATCATGACCTGAGCTGAAGGCAGACGCTTAACCGACTGAGCCACCCAGGCGCCCCTTAACCATATATTTTAAGAAATGAAGAGGAGTGGGTGTCAAACCACCATGGCATTTAGATTCCATTGCATACTTAAAAAAGTATAATTTTATATATTTGTATATTAACATACATAATATACTTTATAATTCTATTTTAAATGTTAATATTTATAATTCAATGGAAATTGTATCCTTTACAATAAATTAAACTTATGATAAAAATAGTTTACATGTCAACTTGCCATTCTGTGAGGGGTACATAGCTTTTAAACATTTTTTTTTAGTGGTATTCAAGCAGAAAGACTGCTGTGTTATCTAATTGCCTCTGTGCCTACTTGTGGGTAGCTACCATACTACACTGTCCAGTTTACAACTGGAGACACAAGGTCAGGGGAGTTCAGTGGTTTGTATAAGGTCACAGTCTTTATAGAGAATGGTGGAGTTCCAGTTTGAACCAGTTCTGCCAGACTCCAAGCTTAGGCTGCATCGACCACACCATAGTCCCTGTCCCCTTTGAAAAGTATCGCGAATCCTTGCTACTCAAATTGTGGTCCGCAGACCAGCAGCTTAGGCATCCTGGAGCTTGTCAGGCAGGCAGAATCTCAGGCTCCACCCAGACCTTCTGAAGCAGAGTCTGCATTTGCAGGCATGTTAGGGGTTGAGAAGCTCTTCCCTGGAACTTTCTACTGCCTCCCTTCTGTTTCTGTCCAGCTTTGGCCCTTGGCCCGAAGACCACTTCCTGGCGCTCTGGGATAGTCAGGTCCCAGCGGTCTAGCTGTCCCATCTTTGTCCCGTCTCTCAGCATGTTGAGGCAGGACAGTAACTTGGCGCTCTCTTGTGACCCTTCCAGGCTCTTTGGTATGGACATCGAGGGCAGGGACTGTGGCGACCAGGCAGCTCAGTGGTTCACCAGCTTCTTGAAAACAGAGGCTTTCAGGCTGGTTCAGTTTGAGAAGCACATGAAGGGAAGACCATCGAGAGAAATTTTCTCTACTTCAGTACCGAATTACCAGGTGCGCTTCCAGAGAGCTGCCCTTCGCTTCTGCCAATCACCCCTCTGTCTCCAGCTTCCTTCCTGACCCACAAAGGAGGTCCCCAGTTAGGAGAGTGTAGGAACGGCCCAGGTGAGGGGGTCTGAGGGCACGTCCCGGGCAGGTGTCGGGGATGGAGAGGGAAGTGGCTCCGAGTGGAGCAGGCTCTCCAGCACGCGTGGTGGATAGATCGTGTCTGGACTGTGGAGGGAGAGGCCAGGGGTGACCCCCGGTGAGATGGGGACTCAGGAGACACTCAAGTTGGGAAGTGAGAAGTTCATTTGGGACTGAACCAAGGGTCTTAAAATTACCAAAGCCGACTTTCTCGTGGGGCTCCCTTGGCCATCAGTCTGATTTGGCTATTTCAGGCACCAAAAAGGCACCTTCTCAGGAAGACCGCCCTGTGGGGCAGCTACAGCGCAAAGCCTTCGATTCTGCAGCGAGTTAGGGTTTAAAATGCCAGCACCTCCCTGAACCACAAGCCGTTTGAATGCAGGGATTTTCACACTGCCTTTTGCCCACCTAGAACAGTGCCTGGTACAGAGTAGGTGCTTCATACATAGAGTGAATGGGTGCCATGTGGAGAAATCGGGACCAGAGCGTAGCTGATCGGCATCAGGTCCTTCCCCTGTGTGACGATGATGTTGTGGGAAGGGGGTCAGGGCTGGGCGCTGGAGTGAGGACCAGGGAGAGTCCCAGAAAGTGATGTTGGCCCTCAGCCCTCGCTGCTGTCTTTTCCGAGTGGTGGGGGAGCCCCTGCGAGGCCCAGCGGCAGGAACTGGCCTGGCCCTGACTTGGCCAGATGCAAGACCACCGTGTCCCCTCCCCTCCCCGAACACCACTGGCCCTCCCTGCACAACCCTTCTGGCCTTCATTTCGCTTTCAGCTGGGCTAGGGCATTTCACAGGGCAGGGAGGCCTGAGGGTGCCATGTCCCTGGCACAGGTGGCCTACCCAGACTGCTGCCCCATCATGATCCTCTCGGAAGCCTCCCTGGCGGATCTGAATACCAGGTTGGAGAAGAAAGTGAAAATGGACCAGTTCAGACCCAATATCGTGGTGACAGGCTGCGATGCTTTCGAGGAGGTAAGAGGTTCACCGCTTCTGTGCATGAAGGTCAGATGTGCTGTTCAAGATGCCCACAGGATGGTTGCCCCCTTTACCTAGCCCCAGCTCAGACCCTCCATGGTCAGCTGTGAGGGAGACTGTCCTCCCCCAAGAGTCACCTTAATCTGATAGAGCTGGCCACTTACTGCTACCCCTGTCACCCTGGCCTCAGGAGGACGCCGCTCACCCGTTCATGCGTGGGCCCCAAAGCAAGCGGTCAGAACTCCAAACTAGATCGAGTCAGGAACTAGGCAAGAATGTATCCTTATGGCTCAGAGATAACTAAAGGGAAATGAAGATGAAGAGAACAGCGAGGAGCGCTCAAGGATTTGAGACTCCTGGAAGGCCCAGACCCTAAAGTGGAGGCCGAGAGAATACAGGAGATCTGCCTGTGAACAGGGCCCTGGAGAGGGTCCACGCTGTGGCCGAGTTCTGTCCCAGAGGACCCACATGCTCTCCTGTGTGGCTGATGGCAGGAATTTCTACCCTCTCCAGCCACAGCCCCTTGTAGCCCTAATAGGACACCCACATCAAAACCCAGTTGTCCTGCGATCTGTACAGAAATACGTAACGGGGTGTTGCTTTGTGCTAAGAAACATCGAGAGTCCTGTTAAACATTGGTGGTGGGCTGAACTTTATAAGCCTGGAAGTGACCAAGGCAAATCCATTCGTTCCATGTTTACTGGGCACCAGACACAGAACTAATGTATTACTTCATACAAATTATTCTATTTGATCCCAATGGCAACCCTATGAAGTCTGTATTACTGTCTCCTTTTGATAAGGAAATTGAAGCTGGGGGGCCTTACACACTTGTTGGACATGTGATTGGCAGTTCTGGGATTAGAACCTCAGACTTGCACCTCTGGCTCCTGAGGGGGTGAGGGCATGCTTCCAATTTAGAAATCCCAAGTAGCTAACTCTTGAGGGAAGAGGCTCTCCATTCTTTGCTCCCTTGGGTGGCCACCTTTCCTTTTGCGTGAGTAAAATATGCCCTTATTTGCTGATAAGTGTCGTCCTTTAGAATAAACCTTTGCACGGGCGCCTGGGTGGCTCAGTCAGTTAAGCATCAGACTCTTAGTTTCAGCTCAGGTCGTGACCTTGGGGTCGTGGAATTGAGCCCAGTGTGCCGGTGTCTATGGAGGAGGCAGCACTGGAAGGGGCCTCGACGTTCTCGGGCAGTCAGCACCTTGAGGGAAGAGACTTGATTTTTCTCCCCAGGAATAAATCCCAGATTTGGTGGGACTTAATACAGTGTGGGAAGGCCTCCTTCAGAAAAGACAATAACGCAGGTGCACGGCCTAGAAGGGCTCAGGTGCAAGAGAGGGGACTAGCCTGCCCACCCCCCGCCCCTCCCCACCCCTGTGGTCTGCTGGTGTGCATAAGCATGGAATCCTTAGACACTTGCTAAACACAAATAAAATCGGTGCTCGATGTTGTTGATGCAAGTGGCTGAGATTTGGATTAGAAATTAGTCCATGAAGCAAAAACACCTTCACAGGAATCCTGTAATTGCTCCACTATTTTCTGAGAAATTTTCTTTTAGGGAATACAATTTTTCTTGATTTGTCTCCACTGAAGGTCCTAATTTTAGTAAGATTTTGAGCCAAGAGGAATAAGAAGAAAAGCTATTCCGTAGCCAGATTCCTGTCGAAAGAATTTTTGCTTTCCTGGAATTTGCCAGCTAAGAGTTTTTGCTCTCCTGTAACTTGTCAAAGTAAACCTAAGGCTAATGTGAGCCTAATCATGTTCACTTAGGCAATTTGAGTGGGTGGAGTCTTTTTTGGTTTTGTTTTGTTTTTTAATTTAAAAAGTGTTCAGTCATCTTGAGCTCTGTGTTTTAATTCCTGCATCATGATGGGCTTACTGAAATAGTAACATAAGTAAGGCAGAATACTCTTATTTTTCCAGAAAAGTCCTCTGGTTGTATACTTTAAAAAAAAAAATGCTTTGTATAAAATGATGCTAATGTTGCCGATTTATTCTCCCTGATATTAGGAAGGCCAACAGTTAGGGGCCTGATGCATTAACCTGTCTACCAGGCACTGTTGTACAACTATAATCTTTTCAATTAGTGGGAGTCTATTAAATATTGATGTAAAATGCGAATGTATGTAAATATTTAATAGACCAACTAATAATAAAAAAAATAGCGAATCTAAGCATGGTGCAAAGAGTCCGGCCATTTCTTTTATCGCAAAAATATAGAGCAATAGTAGAATGCATTGTGCAACATTTGCTCTTCATGACCCAAAGTCCTTGGTATTTTTTCCATGTAACTCAGAATGTTAAGCAAGTTTTAAAAGGTGGCTTCCCTTGGGCCGGTGTAGTGTGTGTGTGTTCGGGGAATGCAGAGCAGTGGAGTTTAAAAATAATACAGTTGACCGGTGCTTCTTGTCTGTGTGCTTGGCCATTGCAGGAGTCAGGGATCAGGTGTTTCCCGAACTTTGCTCGCTTTCCTGGTGTGCAGGACTTGACTTTTTTTTTTTTTTTGGAATATCTTGTTTGGATCATTTCTCACTCTGCAGTATGAAAGAACTGTGGAGAAGCTTGCAGAAAACCTTGGGTGTGTTATTTGTCACTCGGGAAGTGATTCTTCAAGAAGCTTCTAGAAGAGGGCGGATCTTGAGGCCAGGCAGCTGCGGTTGGACTCCCAGGCCCCTCACTGGCTGTGTGCACCGGGTCCTCTCAGTCTGATCCTTTGAGGCTGTTGAGAAAGAAAGTTTTGGCAAACCGTTATGACCCAACTCTCAGTCCCCCAAATCGGAGTGGGGTCGAGTTCGGATTTTACTTGGGTGCATACATGCGTACATTAGAAGTCTCTGTCCTGGAATAAGAACATCATCTCTGCCCGGGCTTCAGGGATTTCTGAAGAAGCAATGCCAACGACAGCATATAAAACAGTAACAAAGTAACAGTAACAGCCAAAGCTCCCAGTTGTCAAATGTGCATTATGTCCCAGGCACTGTGCCAGGCATTTTGGTGCAGGATCTGACTTCATCTTTCTCCTTAACCTTTCCAAACTGCAGGTCATAACCCATTATTGGGTTAGAATTTCAGTTCTATGGATCCTGACCAGCACTACAAAAACAAAAAACAGAAAAAAAAACAAAAAAAGCAAACTAGAATAAAAGGTATCAGAGTTATATACATAAAAGGTATGTAGTAAGGTGAAGACTTGTTCTGTGGGCTCCTGGGGCTGCAGCAGTCCTTGGCATCCTCCGTGCTCAGTGAAGTCACCATCTGTCACCATATGGCATTATGACCATCCTTTTTTTTTTTTTTAACGATTTTATTTGTTTGAGAGAGAGAGAGAAAGAGTATGAGTAGGGGGAGCAGCAGAGGCAGAGGGAGAAGCAGACTCCCCGCTGAGCAGGGAGCCTGATGTGGGGCTCCATCCCAGGACCCTGGGATCCTGACCTGAGCAGAAGACAGATGCTTAACCAACTGAGCCACCCAGGCGTCCCTAAAAGTAATTTTTTAAAGTACCACTTCCTTTGTGTAAAGAAAAACTTGAAGGAATAAAAATCCTTCCCCATCCTACTGTCAAAAAGTAGCCTATGATAACATTTTATTGTGTTTCCAATATTATTTATGTGATATTGTACGAGTAGTATTGAATTCCCCCATTTTCACTTAATGGTAGATGGCTCACAGCTCTGTCTTTACAAATTCTTCGTTAGCATAGTTTTTGTGGTTCCATATTAGTCCATCTTTGAACTCTGCCATCACTTACTTAGCCATTCCCTTATAAATTGAGCATGTAGGCTGTCTTCCGTTTTCCGTTACATAAATAATGAACAGCTTTGTAAAACAGTCTTTATCTGCATTTCTCAACTTATTCTGAAGAAATGCAAAGTCAGAATTTTGCAGGCTTTTCATATATATTGCCAAATGGATTTGCAGAAACCTCATACCAATTTATGTTCCCACAAGTTGAGCAGAAACGCGCCCTTTGTCTGGTCCTTGGCCAGCACTGATGCCTAGCATCTTTACTAAATCTAGTAAGTGAAAAGTCCTGTCTCCTGTAAATTGGTAATTCTTAGTGTAAGGAATCTTGTGTTAGTCAGTCTGTGAAGGAAGTTTGGCCTTGAGGCAGAGTTTTACTTCAGCTAAGGAAACTTAATTTCAATGTATAAACTGCAAGTTTATATACTGGCCAAGGTTCTAGAACACTCATGCTTGAAACAGACGTTTATTGAGAGTTTGCTGGGTCCTAATCTCTGAGATAGATGCTAAACTTACAGAAATGAATTCACTGTGTCTGCCTGCAAGGGTCTGAGGGTGAAGCAGGTTTGAGGGCTCAGTAGCTGGAGGGTTGAGAGACGTAACCTCACTCATGGGAGCCCAGGGAGAGGAACGCTTAGCACAGGGTATGTGTGTGTTTGTGGGAAGAATGCCACAGGGTTTGTTGAAATGGAGAGCATTTAAATTTTGGAATAGGGATTAAAGAATAGAGTTTTGGATGTATATCTTAAAAACAGAAAAACAATTTTTGGCTTTGAGATAGTTGAACTGTGTGGTGTAATGGGAAATACATATTTGGCACTTGTCCCCTATTACAGCCCCTAAAACCCTTGGAATTTCCTGAGTGATAGGAGTACTTTCTATTATTAACAGACTCCTATCAATCATACCTGAGTTATGCTAATGAGGTGAGTGGTAGGGGTGGGGGGTAGGTAGCTTCAGGTTGGAAGTAGGTCACCAGCAAGACCAAGCCTTGACTGGAAATTTGGAACTTTCAGCCCCCCCTCCCCCAGGCCTCCAGGGAGGGGAGAGGGGCTGGAGGTTGAATTCAGTTGCAAATAGACAGTGATGTGATCATCGTGCCTAAGTAATAAAACCTCCATAAAAACCCTTAAAATTAAAAAGACTGGTTTTGGAGTGCTCCCTGGTTGGTGAAGAAGTCAAGGTCCTGGGAGCCGGGACCATGGCCTGGAAGCTCTGTGCTCCTTCCCTCATACCTTGTTCCCCGAATTTCTTCCATCGGACTGCTCCTGAGTTGTATCCTTTATAATGAACTGGTCATAGTAAAGCACTTTCCTGAGTTCTGTGAGCTCTCCTGGCAGAATATCCAACCTGAGGAGGGGGTCCTGGGAATCCTCGATTTATAGCTGGTTGACCAGAAGTACGGCAGAGCTGTACACTTGGCATCTGAAGTGAGGGGTGGGGGGAAGTCTGTGGGACCGAGCCCTTAACCCAACATAGGGAGTGTGTAACTCCAGGTGGTTAGTGTCAGAAAGGGGTGAAATCACAGGACCTCTCTTGGTGTCAGGGAATTGCAGAATTGGTGTTGGAAACACACCATGTGTTTGGTGTTGGAAAGAATCTGAGAAACTTCCTAGATCAGGAAGTTTCTCAGAATCAGGAAAAATGATTTTAAAAATGTGTTGTCGGGATGATAATGCTTCTGATAAAAAAAAAAACACAGAAAAGGAAAATAAAACAAAATTTATAAAAATACTGTTTAAACTTGAGGAGCCTTCCAAATATATTGCTATAAATATATACACATAGCTGTGTGTACAGGTTGTTTTTTTTTTTTTTTATATAAACAGACTTATTCTCCATATAGTGTGTATATATATGTGTGTGTATGTTTTCTTCACTCAGCAACATCTTGAACATTATTCAGTTGATAAAGAAAGACTCACATCCTCCTTTCTGCTGCCCTAACAGTAATCACTCTCCAAATGGGCCACATGTAGTTAGCCAGCCCATAGTTCATAGCTTCCCAAGCTCACGGTAATCATGTGGCCTCATTGATACCAAGGATTTCTAAACAACAAACTTGTTTATTTACTTACTCATCCCCTCAGTTTATCCCAACATGGCTTAAATAATCATTGAATGTGTGACATAATCTATTAAACTTAGGAGTAGCAATTAGAGAATCCAGAGCAGGGTACGGGGAGGCACGGATCTTGGGACTGAGGTTCAGGACGTCAAAGGGCTCCAAGGATGGCAGGAGACCCTGGCCCAAGGTGCAGGTGCCCAGGAGCTCTGTAGCTGTTGGTAGGGTAGGACTGCTGATCCAGTCTGTGTTCTTCAGGATAATTCCTTTGATAGCCCATGGGAGCAGCAGAGAGCTCCTGGGTTTGCCTTCTGTCTTACCCTCAGATGTCTTCTTGTCCATCTGTGGTGCATGGGTGTTCAGGAGTGTACCTTGGCCTCCCTTCTCACCTGGTGCCCTCCCACCATGTTTGTGTATATATTATTATATGTGTATAATATGTATAATATGAAATATATGTATGCACACATATACAGCATATATAGAATATATATACAAAGATGGAATAGATATATATTCTATTCTCTCTCTTTAAATATATGTGTACAGACTATATGTGTGTGGTGTGTGTGTGTGTATACAGAGAGAGAGGGAAAGGGAGGGGGAGAGAGAGACTTGAGAGGGTAGAATCTCCCGTCATACATTTAATTTATTGCTTGGCAGGTGCCTGTCTGGACTCTAGTGAAGGTCTCAAAGAAGCAAACACCCTCATCTGCACTGTTCTGTGTGCTCCACAATAATTGCCCCAGACTCTTAATTAATTAATTAATTAATTGTTTTTCCGGACCCTTAATTTATGTCTTTCTTTGGATGCTACTTGTCATGGGAAACCGTGTAATCTTAATTTAGTGTTTGCCAATGTAAATGGCAAATTCATAGTAATTTCTTAGGGTGATTCCACAGAGCTGAGCCCATTGTGTACCGTGATCTCTCCTTTCTCACTGCCTTTCTTTCTTCCTTTCCTTTCTTCTTGCCCCTCAAAAACTCCCTGGTTTTACCCCTTCACCGTAAATAAATGTCTTAGGGGCCTGGATTTTGCCAGACTGCAGAGAGGTTGCTCGGCAGCAGGGGGAGCAGTCAGCTCTTCTAGCTGTTTTCTGTGTTTAGGGAAGTCACTGGAACCTTGCGTGTGTCTGGTAGAACCTAATGGAAAATTGAATTTCATGCATCTTTAATTAAAATGAACTTTTAATAACTTAAGGTATTTTATTATCTTCCTCTAATAACTGAATTAATAATTACATTTAAACTTAATTCGCGTAGTGTTTTTTTACTGCAAATAACGCTCTGCGCCAAAATGCCAACCGTGATCAGATTAGGGTGAGTGACGTTATTATATAAAGTGATTAATACTTTTGGAGGTCGTTAGAGCTGTAATTTGGGGAGCTTCAGACAGTTTCTATGATTGCAGACAATTTGTTAACCCTAAACGGTACTGCCGTTCCCTGAGAGCGGAAGAGCAGATTACCTCTGTTTTATTAAGCTAGGACACCTAATCGAACTTTTCAGACTTTCCTGCTTCATGCCACAGTCACAAGGCAGAGTTTCCACAGATCTGTGGCTTTGAAATGTGAAATTCATGATCATTTGTGCAAAGACATTGAAAGGCAGGTAGTTGGGAGAGCTCTGGGGCGCGGATGGGCTCGCATTCCTGTGTCCGCAGCGCCCTCGTGTGGCAAAATGCATCCAGCCTTTGCCGCCGCCCCCAGGCCAAGGCTGCATGGGACCCATCACTTCCCCCTGCGGGATCCCTATTACTGGTCACACTCGGGGGAGGTCCCATTCCGCCGGCTGAGCCACCTGCTCTGGTTGTGCTGCATATTTTTGCCGTTTGCACAGGGCTTGTAGTTAAGTCCAGGCTGGGATATAGAAATTCCGTTTGTTACATGGGGGTCCTTGACTTTTACAGGGTCAACATAGTCCGTCCAACAACCGGTTTGGAACACAGATTTTATTTCCACACAGCAGCGGTTTCATAAATGGTTGTTGGGAACCCAGCGTGTCCACAGAGACCTTTACCGCGGCTGTGCTCCTGTTCCGTAGGAGATTTGTGAGCTGGGAAGACCCAGTTAGGGACTGGAGTATCTTTCCTGTGTTGGCTAAATCACCCCTGTAGGCCCTGGGGGCTTCGTGTACCCCTGGGAGAGAAGCAGGTCATCAGAGATGGAAGGAAGAACATTATGTGTTAGCCCCCACCCCGCCCCCCGCTCTGTCTGGCCTCTCCTGTCCCCGGGGGTTGGGGGTGGGGGGGTCAATAGATGGCTCATTTCCTCGCTTGCGGACTGACTTCTCACCAAATCGCTTAGACCCGCTCCAAACCTCATTTGGGTTGAGATCAGGAAACAATTTTTCAAGGGACACTTTTATTGCACCTGATTATAGGTACTGTTGTTGGTTTCTGGAGCCTGGAGTGAGGCCCCTCCCCTACTACCTCTCACCTCTCCCCCTGAGGCCTGGATGGGGGTTGTCCTGGGAAATGCAGATCCCACAGAGGGCTTCCCTATTAGCAAGAGAGTCCTATAACATACCCTCCCTCCTTATATATGTGTGTGCATGTCTGTGTGCGTAGGTGTATGAATATGTATATCTAGGCATAGGTAATGTAATCTATATAATCTCCATATATGTGTGTATGTTTATGTATATGTGTGTGTAGACAGATAAATAGAGACGGAGATAGATTTAAAAGCTGGGTGGTTAGAAGTCCTGCCTTCAGAATCTGAAGTTTTCAAACCTGCTATGACCCTGAGAAAATTTTGTAACCTCTCCAGGTCTTGGTTTCTTTGTGCAAAACAGGGATCGTCATAGTACCTTCTTCAGAGTTGTGAGGATTTATTGAAGCCCCAAGGTGGATGTTGGCAGTGCCCACCGTTTGAGGGTGGGAACCCAAAGCACGGCCAGGAGCTGTGGAACGCCAGCCTCACCCCCCACCCCCCCACCCCCCCGCCAGGGCAGGCTGCCAGTCGTGGGGGTAGGAGTGTTGAATGTGTGAATTTCCTACCTGACTTCCTGTGGGTGGTGTCCCATTCATCAAAGAACTATCAGATTTTAACTTGGCTTCCATTGTAGCTTAGCTATAAGAACAAAGTGGGCTTGTCTTGCAGGCTATACATTTTTCATTATATATCAGTAAATTGGCCTTGTAGTTAATGTATGATTCTTACGGCAAACTGCCCGGCAGAGAAGGTCTGTTCTTGCTTTGCTGACAGAGTCGGGTTTCTGAGACAGTGAGTCAAGAGGTGGATGGATCCTGGACTCACCCATATGCCGTCTCCCTTTGTGTCCCTTTGGGAGATGCTTCTTGGGGGGTCTGGCTGTCCTTTCTTCTGCTAGCCTCGTTGTTAGGACCAGCCAAAGAGTAACCTGCTTTCAAGACTAATGAAGCCTTGATTCAAAAGATAACTTTTCCTTTCCTCCTATAGGATACTTGGGATGAACTCCTAATTGGCAACGTAGAAATGAAAAAGGTTTTGTCTTGCCCCAGGTAAGGATTCTCTAAGAGTCAACCTCTGAGGGGTGGTGGTGTGTTCATTGGTCCCTAACCACCACCTAATCATTGGTTCTTGAATGGCAGGTGCATTTTGACCACTGTAGACCCAGATACTGGAGTGATAGACAGGAAGGAGCCACTGGAAACCCTGAAGAGGTAAACAGCAATGTGTCCACGGTGTTTTTAATACTATCCCCATCCCGGAGCTACCTGTGGGGGTAGGTGCCCCGTCCGAGCACCTTTCACTCCGCCTTCTGGTTGGCATGTGTCTGTGGGTAAGTTGCTTCCTCTTTTTTTAAGGATGGATCTTCGAGTGCTTTTGACAGATTTTTCATTGTCTAATACTGTGTTTTGAAATTTTCATATCTCTCACATCAATTTTTAATAACATTCATGTGTGTATGTCCAAATTAAGCCTCAAATACTGTAATTATTATTGCACCTCAGATTTCTTTATTAGACTCAACATCAAGGATTATGAGACTAATTGAAGTTGCATAATGAAATATTAGAACAATGGAAATGTAGCCAGTTGTCAAGAGTTTATTTGTTCAGGAGCGTCCTTTGGGCCCAGGTGTTTTGTTTTGTTGCTAGCTGACTTTAGTTATCAATAGAGAATGTGTTTTTAAAACGAAGTCAACATTTTTGGGAGATATATTCTATTTTATTTTCTTTTTCTCTGTTTTGTTGTTTCCAATGCTTTTGAGTTTTAGAGAAGAGGTTATTTCTTGATAACCTTCGGATATGCAAATCTGTTTTGTTCTTTGATTTTTGAGGTGCAGTGAAGTTAATTTTTTTCTCTTTAGACAGGCCTTTTGAAAAACATTAACTTCATCAGTAGTTCAGCCCCATGCCAGCTGCATCTCTATCTTCATTTTTGTTCATCAAGAGCCTCAGCTTTGGGCTTGTCAACCGGGAGGGAGGGGGGAAGCGTATTACTTACATGCATTGGACAGAAGGTTTGGAGGGGCGCCTGGGTGGTTTAATGGGTGAAGCATATGACTCGATTTCAGCTCAGGTCGTGATCTCAGCATCCTGGGATTGAGTCCTGCATCAGGCTCTGCGCTCAGCCTGTCTCCCAAATAAATAAATTAATTGATTAAAAAAAAAAGAACTTTGCGAGTTCAGGCAGTTCCATTTTGAGATTGTATGAGCATTTGTTTCAGGGAGTTGTGAAGTTAGAGGTATACATGCAAACATATACCACTTACTATTTTTTTAAACATACCACTTATTTTTATTATTTTTTAAGTTTTTATTTATTTTTATTTTTTGAGTAACACAGTTTTTTCAAACTGAAGCCATGGAAAATTGTTCAGACTCTCAGGATGCTCCTAGAAAAACCAGGATTATGTGTAGTTTGCCTACTTGCGCACAGACTTCTCTGTCCACGTTGTAGAAGAGGCTTGCTATTTATGATAGGTCATCTGAGAATGAAAACTTGAATTCTCTTGAGAGCCCTTCAGTTCTTATTTCCCTTTTGTGCCTGATGATGAATTTTTGCTTCTTTCAGCTACCGCCTGTGTGATCCTCCCGAGAAGGCAGTATACAAGTCATCCCCGCTTTTTGGGATCTATTATTCAGTGGAGAAAATTGGCAGCCTGAAAGTTGGTGACCCGGTGTATCGGCTGGTTCAGTGACGTGGTATGGTGAGGGGCGGGCTTTGCTGCTGGAATGCATTGCTTCAAGGCCACTGCCACGTTTTCTTGCTTTGAGATGTTTTTATGTTTTGCTGCTTTAACTCTTGGGAGAATGAGCGGTTTGTGTTCTGCTCTTTGGAGTTGGAAAATGCCTTTTATTTTTCTTTCCTCCACAATCTGATTTATTTCACCTAGGCTTCTCTCCCACTTCCCATTCAGTTATAAAAGGCTGATGCAGGAGCCCCAGCAAAAGACAGGTAGATGTTCTCAGTTCATTAAGAAATAAGGAAATGAAGGTGAGCAGGTCTCAAGAGTTCTACATTGATTTTTTTCTGTCTCTGATAGAAAAGTGAGGGGAAATGTTTAAATTATTCAAAATCAACTTGAGAAAAACATTAAATACTTTTTATAAAATTTATTTTTAAAATATGATTTAAAGTTTAAGAAATATTAGTGTATCAAGGTGCCTGGATTCTGAATCATAAGGTAGAAAATAATGCTCTCACCTTGATTTCATCAGGCCAGAGACAACCCTGACGCCTGGAGCATAATGCCCAACCCCCAAATTATAGAAATAAGATCATTTGGAAGACTTCGAATTGAGGTTTATTAAACAACTCTTTTCATAAAATCTATAACCCCAGTTCTGAAAGTCACCTCATGTCTGTAACTCTTGACCGTTGTTCTTTCTGATCCTGGCCTGACCTTCTCACCTTCCCGCTTGATCAGCCTTGAGGACAACATGGGATACTGCGTCCAGACTGTCTAGATCCAGCATCAGATAGACTTGGGTTCATAATCCTAGCAGCTCCTTTTCCTAACTTGGTTGAATTATTTAACCTCTGAGCCTTACTACCCTTATCTGCAAAGCGTTGGAATACGGGGGTACTCAACCAAACAATCATCACAGTTATTTTGAGGATTAATTTATATAAAGTTGCAGCATTGCAACAGAAATGTGAGGTGTCCCTATTGGGTGGGGGTGGGAACCATGGGCAGTGAAAGAATTCACCCAGGGCGGAGCAAAGGAGGGAGTTTATTGAATACACCGCAGGGGAGCTGTAAGGCAGGACAGAAAAGAGAGACAGTCCGCTAGGAGGCGGTGGTGAGGGACTATAGTAGTTATAGGGCAGGGTGAGGAGGTATGGAGACATCGGGAATTTTACCATTTTGGTAATATTAGCAACTGTGCCTGGTTGTAAGTAGCCCATTGGTTAGGCAGGGCCTGTGGGCTAATGAGCCTGTCTGCATTCAGTTTTCTGGTCACTGGGGCCCTTTTGTCGTACTCAAGCTTCCATAGCTCAAGCCTGCTGCCAAAGAACAGCCTCTACAACGAACACAGAAAATGCTCAATAAATATTAGCCATGATTTTTATTGTTGTCGTTGTAGAGGGGCTCCTAGGAAAACTACGCGGAAGCCAGCAAAGGGTAAACAATTCTTATGAGAATAAGCTCTTGTGAATCTCTGGCTATAGTGCCCAGTTGAGAGAGAAAACTAAAAGTTCACATTGTCCCTTCCTTTCCAAATCCAAACACATTGTTTATGGATCTTTTCTCTCCCAGAGGAGCTATTACCTCTCTGCTTGTCTCGTTTTGCGTAACTGGGCTTGGCTTTCTGCCTGTTTGGGACTTGCAGGTTGCCGGTTGTTTCTTTTGTCTGTCTTTGGGAGTGACTCCAGCTTTGGGGAACTTAATAGCCTCTGCACCCTCTTTGAGGACCTGTCATGCCCAAGTGGAGGTTATTCAATACTGCCAAAAACCTTTAAAATCTGGGGCACCTGGGTGGCTCAGTTGGTTGAGCGTCCGACTGTTGATTTTGGCTCAGGTCGTGATCTCAGGGTCCTGGGAAAGGGCTCTGCGGTGAGCACAGAGTCGGCTTGAGATTCTCTCTCCCTCTGCTTCTCCACACACCCCCCACCCCCCTCATGCTTTCTCTCTCTAAAATAAAATAAATAAAATCTTAAAAAAAAAAAGAAATATTTAAAATTTGAACTATATACTAGGAGGGAAAGAAGCACATTGAGGCTAATGCAGTTGGATGGGTGGATCAACCCATAATGTCATATAAGTTACAATCCAAATTCCTTAAAGAATTAAGAACAACTGTGCTTATCTGACAGATCTTTTGTGAAACAAAAGTCAGCTCTAGAGGCAGTTAAAAATTCATCCTGTTCCTTTTCCAATTCCCAAACTTCCCTTATCTGTCTCAAAAGGCTTGGAAAATTATTTGCCTTAGGAAATAAAAGTCTTGGAGGAACTTCTTGGAGGAACTTCCATTCCTTCTGTGTCCCTTAGTTATACATCTTACCATGTCTTTGAAATTTAAATACAGCTCACAATCAGATATCTGAGACTAAGGGAGAAGAAGAAAAAGAAGAGTCCTTTTTGAAAATACGAACTACTTGTAAGGGCACTTGTGCCTGAACTCCAGCAAGCCTCCTTAATTCCAGAGACAGAATATTACTCAGTAATATTGTAAGGTTTTTATATCTGCATGGTTATGTGTTTGTTATAAATGTGAGGCATTTTTTTACCTCTGGATGGTATTGCTAAAAGTAATTTGTGAAAGAGCTCTATTTATTTTATTTATTATTATTATGATGTTATGTTAATCACCATACATTACATCATTAGTTTTTGATGCAGTGTTCCATGATTCATTGTTTGCGTATAACACCCAGTGCTCCACGCAGAACGTGCCCTCTTTAATACCATCACCAGGCTAACCCATCCCCCCACCTCCCTCCCCTCTAGAACCCTCAGTTTGTTTCTCAGAGTCCATAGTCTCTCATGGTTCATCTCCCCCTCTGATTTCCCCACCTTCATTCTTCCCCACCTTCTTCTTTTTTTTCTTTTTTTTTTTTTAACATATAATGTATTATTTGTTTCAGAGGTACAGATCTGTGATTCAGCAGTCTTACACAGTTCACAGCTAAAGAGCTCTATTTAGTTGGTTGGAAGACAAGCATTTGTAAAGCTTGGACATTCTAGAACTCTGAAAAAGATAGAAACTAACCGAAATGTTTTCCAGCTTCATGAGATCTGAGAAAATGTTTGGTATTAAAGCTAATTTAAGTTTGTTGGTTTAGGGCACCCTGGTGGCTCAGTGGGTTAAGCGCCTGCATTCTGCTTAGGTCATGATTGCGGGGTTCTGGGATCGAGCCCCACATCGGGCTCCCCGCTCAGCGGGGAGTTTGATTCTCTCTCTCCATCTGCACTTCCTCCCTGCTTGTGCTCTCTCTTTTGCTTGCTCTCTCTCTCAAGTAATAAATAAAATCTTAAAAAAAATAAAGTCGTAGAACGTTTGTAGAAAAGGAATCCTTGAAAAGGAATTTTAATATGTGGTCAAGCTGGCTAAGATTAAGATGAACAGATTTTAAAATAAGGTTTTTTTTAAAAGACTTTATTTATTTGAGAGTAAGAGCTAGAGAGAGAGAGCACAAGCAGGGAGGGGAGGGAGAAGCAGACTCCCCGCTGAGCAGGGAGCCCTATGCAGGGCTTGATTCCTGGACCCCGGAATCGTGATCTGAGCCGAAGGCAGACACTCAACTGACCGAGCCACCCAGGTGCCCCTAAAAATAAGTTTTAATATCAAAAGTAAGCTGGTGCAAAATTAGAATTTGGGCTTTTGGTCTGCTTAAAAGTCTTTTTGACCTGAGCATTCCAAAAGATTTGCTCAACTCATTAGGCTTATTTGATATATCAAATTACATGAGAAGCATTGTCAAATAAGAGGTAATACTAAGGGGCGCCTGGTTGGCTCAGTCGTTAACCATCTGCCTTCGGCTCAGGTCATGATCCCAGGGTCCTGGGATGGAGCCCCATGTCAGGCTCCCTGCTCGTGGGAAGTCTGCTTCTCCCTCCCCCACTCCCCCTGCTTGTGTTCCCTCTCCCGCTGTGTCTCTCTCTGTCAAATAAATAAATAAAATCTTTAAAAAAAGAAAAAAAGAGGTAATACTAAACCTTCTTCTTGTTGCATTGTAAAATTGTGGCAAGTGGATTAAGTCCATTGTTCTTCTGAGGAAAAAAAAAAAGGAAGGCTGCTCATTGCCAGGCTTTTGCCATACGGATGTCCTTACAACGTGACCACAGTCTGCTCCTGACTTACAAAAATGCAGGTGGGCAAACAACGCCTGTAAATGAACAGTCAGGGTTATAGGAACCCCAAGAAGGCCACTTGGTTCTCCCTGGCTCCCTGGCAAACCCCATTTTTCAGGTTTTGCATTCTTTCACCCACCACAGTACATTTAAGATATCTCAAGTTACGAACAGACATCAGTGGAGAGACATTTATAAAATTGCAAAACAGTCTACCAGGGATGCCTGACCTGTTAGGTCCATAATCCTGAAACAAAATGAAACAAAATAAAACTGTTTTTATTCCCAGAGCCTCAGACCTCCCTCTCTCTAGACCCTTTGAACGCCTGCACCTGGACTTCGTTCAACGGCCAGTTAGTAGGGGTTATTAATATGTTCTTGCTATTGTTTGCATATTTTCTGGATGGGCTGAAGCCTTTCCCTACTGCAAAGCTGAGGTCCCCGTAGTAGCAAAGAAACTGTTAAAAAGTGTGTTTCCCACTTGGGGTCTACTTCCCATGATTTCCAGGGATCAAAGCACCATGTCACTAGACAGATTATAGGAGCCTTAACAATAACCTTGCAACATTTTTAGAATTCTAGCAGCATAGAGTGAAGCAACCATCTGATCATCATGAGGTTGAAGAAGCTTCCCAGATCCCAGTTCAAGGGATCCTGTCAGTCATACTTTAGAGCCTGGTGACTAGGTATTCTGGAAGCATCATCAGTGGAAGACAGCCCTTCTAGCTCCATTAAAAAGACACCTTTCCTGGTGCACCTGACCGCTGACACTGCTGCAAATCTAGAAGGTGTTAAGTCCTGGGTACACATCACAAAGCAGAAGAAGGCTCTATGTGACACCTGGTCCTATACAGACCCTGAAGACCTAGAAATTAAATTGAGGAGGAAGAGAAATCGCTGACATTGCAGTAGACTGCTTCCACCCAAGACCAAGATCAAGACTTCATATTTGAACATAAAACCCTTCTTTTCCTTTCCTTTAGTCTGGCCTTAGCTTGGAAAGATAACACACTCATTCTGTCTCGCAGGCCATTGCTCAGGCTACATTTACATTTTTGAGTTAAAAGGGACCTACCAGTGGGGTTTCATAGTTCAGGATTCACTCCTTTTGACAGGCCCCTGTTTCCCTAGTTAGGAGTAAATGTAAATGAGGCTAATTTTCGGGGTGCCTGGGTGGCTCAGTCAGTTAAGCATCTGACTCTTGATTTCAGCTCGGGTCATGATCTCAGGGTTGTAAGACTGCGCCCTGCATCCAGCTCCTCGTTGAGGGTGGAGCTTGCTTAAGATTCTCTCCCTCTTCCTCTGCACTCCCCCATCCCAGTTCACACACTCATGTGAGCACACTTTCTCTCTCTCTCAAAAAAAATGGGGCTGATTTCTTAATTCTTAAAATTATTACAGAATCTGCTGCTAAAGCAGTGCTGCCCAATGAAGATCCTTAGACTCTCTGCCAGAGTAGTTTTGATAATAATAGGACAGCTCTTGATTATCTTTGAACTGAGCAAGGAGGTATCTGTGCTGTGGCCAACACCACTTGCTGTACCTGGATTGACACTTCTGGGGAAACTAAAACTCACTTACCTGAGATCACTGAGCAAGCCACTTGGCTTAAAGGATGACCCCTTCAGTGGGGTCTGTCTTTGATCTGATTTTGATTGGTTTGGGTCTTGGGCACCAAGGCTTCAAAGTGAACTCTAAACATCAGGGATTATCCTGCTTATAGTGATTATAATAATCTTCCTGGTACATTGTATCCTCTCAAAAACTTTTTCTTTTTCTTTTTTTTTAGATTTTTATTTGAGAGAGAGAGAGTGCATGCACGAGTGTGGGGAGGAGCAGAGGGAGAGGGAGAAGCAGACTCCCCACTGAGCAGGGATCCTGATGGGGGGCTCCATCCCTGGGACCCCGGCATCATGACTGAGCCAAAGGCAGACGCTTGACTGACTGAGCGAACCAGGTGCCCCTGTATCCTTTCAAAAACTTTGTCTGATCACAACCACTAACCACCAAGCACATGATCTCCTTAAGACTACAATGGCAGAAAAGGAACAGAGAACAACAGACTTAAGGAATGCAGACTTTGTCGTAACCCGTGAATTTCACAGAGATAAAGCAAAAACACCATGAACGGTGAATGCCACACAGAGGATCAACAGAAGCTTCAAGCACCACAGAGCCAAGCTGAGCGTGACGCTAACGGCTTAAATTTTGAGCACAACTCTCAGTTCAGCTGAGAGTCTGATCAAAAGTGGGGAATGTTAACCAGAAAACCACAGCCCTAAAATGGCCTCACTAAGTTAAGGCTTCGAGTGAGTAAACCAAGACTTAAAACCTAACCTAACTGCAGTTTCAATTCCCCAGGGATGTAAGCTTTAACCAGGCAACATGGAACTTCTTGGTCAAAACTAGGAAACTGCCTGGTAGACCATTCTCCAGAGGAGGGCAACCTTGCCTAAACAGTGCATTCCTTGCCAATAAAGTCCGTTCTTCTTTTTATGTCTTTTCTCTGCCTTTAAAAGCCTTCTGTTTAGCTCAGTGGAGCTCCCCTCTCCTTGCTAGATGGGATGCTGTGCGATTCATGAATCATTTAATAAAGTCAATTAGATCTTTCAATTTACTCAGTTAAATTTTGCTCTTTAACACATGTGTGGGATGGACTGGAACTGGGAGGGGACGTGAAAGGCCATCAGGGGGTGACAACATGTGTCTTAAGCAAGGTGCAAACTGGGCATGGCGAGGGACGTGGGAGTGCCCAGATCGTGCACCTGGCCGAGATGCTGTTGGCCACTGGGCCCTGAGCAGTCCCCCACACAAACCCAGGGTGCTTGTCCTGCTGCCCGTGCCCTAGAAGCATGGAGAAATTTCCTCTCTGGTGGGCGTTGCTGCTGGGCTTTAAAAATCACGGTACTATTACTCATCTACTTGGTGAGCCTGGTCTGGTTTCTGTGTTCTGGATTCTTTATATGACAGGTTGGTTAAAGCTGTGCAAAGGTAGCAGTTAATATTTGCATGGGGTTACTTATTCATTTAAAATTTAATTATGTAAAAGTTCATCTGTTCCATTGTAGATGCAGTATACATGTTCCTCATGGTGAATTTAGAAAATACCAGCCACGTTGGGGAAAGCAATCACCCATTGTCACTGTTTAAAAATTTTATTCTGGTTGGTTTTTTGTTTGCTTAATGTAGCCATAATCTGTATGATATAGATAACATATACATATATATAATCATATATACTATATACAGATATATGTTGTATATCATATGATATATATACAGATATACATCTGTGTATCATATGGTAACTATATGCAGAAGTATGTATCATATATACTTTCATAGACCTCCAGTCTTTGCAAAGGTCATTTCTGATGGCTTCATAACATTACGTGTAGAAATATACACCGTGTTCTAAACAACATTTTATAGTATTTGACACTTGGAATATATCCAATTTTGTTGTAAATAATAATACAGTGTATATCTTCGTGTGCAGAATCATTTTATTTATTATTTTTTAAAAAGATTTTATTTATTCATTTGAGAGAGAGAGAGTGCACAAGAAGGGGATGGGGCAGAGGGAAAGGAGCAAGCCGACTCCCTGCCAAGTGGGGAGCATTTTGCGGGGCTCGATCCCGGGACCCCAAGATCACAACCCCAGCTGAAGTTAGACGTTTAACCAACTGAGCCACCCAGGTGCCCCCAGGGCCATTTTACAATTGAGTGTTTTTCTGAAACTAGATTGCTAAAGTGGAATTATGGACTCGCAGGATACAGGCATATATTAGAGCATCCTGGCCAGTGGCTTTCAAAAGCGCTCCTCCCCGTGCACCCCCTTGTGCCACGTGGGGGAGATCCTGGCTCTGGGCTCTTGCCCAGACCTGGGTGGGCCTTTCAGTCTTAACAGGCTGCCTTTTCCCATGGAGGTAATTTGGCACAGGACATAGTTTATGTTTCCTGCATTTTAACCTCATCGAGGGACTGTTTTGTGAGTGTTTGAGCTATTTATGACCTGTAGGAGAAATAACCAAATAATCAGAAGTCCTTGTCATTTATTCAGGTTCCAGAGTCCGGGAGGCTTTCTTTAGGATTTTTCCCACAGCAGCAACACCACCACCTCAGCACATCCTTGCTAACCAGCCTGTGGCCATCTTCACCCTGGGAATGAATCTCCATTTTTAACTTTTTGAAGTTATGCATGCTCCGGGGTTAATGCAGGAAAAGCATTAGAGGCGATTCAGAAATAAGATAAATAGATTTTAGGTATTGAGGACTTTTGAAATAAATAAAACTGTCTATGAAATTGTTTTGAATGTTACTATAGCAATTACACTTCTCAATCCCTGATGTTAATATCGATGCGTAAAGAAAGCTTAAAGAATGAATGAAAAAGCTACAAAACTTTTTCTAAGTGTTGACATTTTATTACCTATCATTCGTCTTTTGGGAGGAATAGGAAATGAGATCACTGTTTTCTGATGTGCCTTTTACATGCTAACACAAATTCCTGTTCTTGGTCTTTACACGGCTGTTGAATCCTGTCAACTTTTTGCTCATGGGTTTTGGAATCAGGTTGTACGTGAGTATGGAAGTTATTTTATAGATCTTGTTTTTATATTCGATTAAGCCTCCATGAAGCCATATGGAAGTAATCTGTGTGTAACTGCCAGATACATTGCCTGGAATTCCAAGTATGATGAAGAAAAGATGGGATATTAAAAAGAATGGAATTTTGAGAGCAGGAGGGAGGAGGAGGAAAGCATGAGCACATTTTTTTTAGGCGCAAATAATTTTTTTTGTAATGAAGAGAAATGAACTATTTTGGTATGACTAAACAAATCCTCGCTGAAGAAATATGTGGATGAATTAACCCACTTATAATTTTGTGGTTTCTTTAATATTAATAAATGTGAATCTCAGTTGTACTTTTTCTTTGGTATTTATGAGTCTGCTTCCGGGCTTCTCTCATTTTATATTAGAACTTCGGTCGGTATTCATTTTTCTTTACTCTTTTCTAGTAACCTAGCAGAGGGTTTCCCTCCAGAGATAGGAGTGGACTCTGCAAACATTACCTCCCGTGGTGGGTGGGGGATGGGGGGCATCAGGAACTACACAGATGGCCCACTGAGGCAGGATGGCCCAGTGACTGTGAGGAGATTGTCAAAGGAGACTTTAAAGTCAGCCATTGAAATAGAGAAGCAGATTTTTTCCTTTTAAAATTTCTGAAGACATGGGGGCACCTGGGTGGCTCAGTTGTTAAGCATCGGCCTTCGGCTCAGGTCATGATCCCAGGGTCCTGGGATCAAGCCCAACATCGGGCTCCCTGCTCTGCGGGAAGCCTGCTTCTCCCTCTCCCACTCCCCCTGCTTGTGTTCCCTCTCTCACTGTGTCTCTCTTTGTCAAATAAATAAAATCTTAAAAATAAAATAAAGTAAAATAAAATAAAATAAAATTTCTGAAGACAGCAGCACCTGGCTGGCTCAGTCAGAAGAGCATGCGACTCTTGATCTCGGGATCTCGAGTTCAAGTCTCACGTTGGGTGTTGAGATGACTTGAATAAATAAAAACTAAACTAAACTAAATTTCTGAAGAGAAATTAGAGAAGGAGATAAACAGAAATACACAAAATGGAGCGCCCATGAGCTGGCTTTCTGTGGAGAACATGGAGAACATGGAGCTCGAGTCCTGTGTCCTGCTGAGGTTCGTGCTCTCCGCTCTGTTCCAGTGGCTCACATCACCCACCACCCATCAACATTTCTCTGTGGAAAGCTAGATTTACCCAAGCCCCTTCTCCCTCCAGCTCATTCCTGGAAGAGGCGGTCATTGATGTACCATAACAGTGGAAGTAACTTTGACCCCTGTACTCTGAACACAGTTCCTGGCTCTCACAGGAGTAGGGCAGGGAAAGGGGGACCTGGGGTTGAACGAGCACGTAGAACAGATACAATCCGGATAAACCTAAATATCTATGGTGAAGAACAATGTTCAGACAGATCTTCCCTGAGCACTAAAGGGCCCCGATGTGTGTTGCCAGCTGGCGAAAAAGGATTTGCTCTGCTTTGGAGACTTTCCCTTTACTGATTTAAGACATTCTCCATTTGTGTGGACAGTTCTGGTGGGGTCTTGAATTGCACTGTTCTAGTCTGTCTCTCTCCTTGACCAAACTAGTTAGGCTCCTCTGAAGCCTCTTCTCCACCAGGCCGCAACCTTGACTCTGGCCTTGCCAGGCCTGCCTAGCTCAGTTTAGCAAGAATCCTGCTAAATCAGTTTGAGAGTGTCCTCACCCTGGCTATCCGATCACTCATATTATAGAATTGAGTTCCTCATCTCTTCCTTCGACGTGTAAGACCTTGGCCTCCCTTCAGCAAGAATCCTGTTAAGTCAGTTTAACAAGAGTCCTCCTACCCTTGATGTTTTCCCCGAAGTAATTTTCCATCCACTAACCCCGTCTCTCTGCATCTTGGCTACAAATCCCCACTTATCTTTGCTGTGTTCAGAATTGAGCCCTATGGTAATATCTCTATTGCAATTGTCTTATTTTTTTATTGACCTATAACATTGTATTCATTTAAGGTATCTAATGTAATGATTTGGTGTATGTGTATATTATGAAATGATCACAATAAGTCTAGTTGATGTCCATTACCTTACACAGTTGTAAATTTTTTCTTGGGATGAGAACTTTTAAGATGAAGTCTCTTAGCAACTTTTAAATTCACAACACAGCATTGTTTTGATTTTTTTAAGATTTTATTTATTTATTTGTCAGAGAGAGAGAGAGAGAGAGAGTGCACAAGCAGGGGGAACGGCAGGCAGAGGGAGAAGCAGGCTCCCCACCAAGCAAAGAGCCCAATGCGGGACTCGATCCCAGAACGCTGGGATCATGACCTAAGCTGAAGGCAGAGGCTTAACCGACTGAGCCCCCCAGGCGCCCCACAAACACAGCATTGTTAACTATAATCAACATGCTGTACATTACATCCGCAGAACCTATTTCTCTTACAACCAGAAATTTGGGTCTTTTGACCACCTTCATTTATTTTGCCCACTGCCCACCCCCCCACCCTTGGCAACCACCAGTCTTGTCTCTCTATCTATGAGTTGTTTTTATTTTTGTTTTTGTTTTAGATTCCACATATAAATGAGATCATATGGTATTTGTCTTTCTCTATCTGATTTATTTCACTTAGCATAATGCCTTCAAGGTCTCTCCACTTTGTCCCAAAGGGCAGGATTTCATTTTTTTTAAATAAGACTGAAATAATATTCCATTATAGGTATATACCACATTTTCTTTATCTGTTCATCTGTCCAGTGGACACTTAGGTTGTTTCCATGTCTTGGCTATTAGAAATAATGCTGCAGTGAACATGGGGGTGCATAAATCTTTTCAAGTGAGTGTTTTTTCTTTCTTTGGATAAATACCCAGAAGTGGAATTGCTGGATCCTATGACAGTTCTGTTTTTAAATTTTTGAGGAAACTTCATACTGTTTTCCATTAGTGGCTGCACCAATTTATATTCCCACCAAAAGTGCACAAGGATTCCCTTTTCTGCACATCCTCCCCGGTGCTTGTTATCTCTTCTTGATAATAGCCATTCTAACACATGTAAGGTGGTAGCTCATTGTGGTTTTGATCTGCATTTCCCTGATGGTGAGTGATGGTGAGCACCTTTTCACATACCTCTTGTCTTCTGTGGAAAAACGTCGGCTTAGTTCTGCTGCTCATTTTTATTTTTATTGTTATTTATTTTTTGAGATTTTATTTATTTGTCAGAGAGAGAGAGCACGCACAAGCGGGGGGGCAGCAGGCAGAGAGAGAAGCAGGATCCTCTCCGAGCAAGGAGCCTGATGTGGGACTCGATCCCAGGACCTTGGGATCATGACCTGAGTCGAAGGCAGACGCTTAACTGACTGAGCCACCCAGGCGCCCTGAGCTGACATTTTTGTATGGTATAAGATAGTGGTCCAGTTTCATTCTTTTGCATGTAACAGTTTGGCCCCTGCCATTTATTGAAGAGACCATCCTTTCCCCTTTGTATATTCTTGGCTCCTTTGTCATAAATTAATTGACCATATATGCATGGGTTTATTTCTTCTCTCTCTTCTGTTCCATTGATCCACATGTCTGTTTTTATGCTGATACTACATTGTTTTGGTCACTATAGCTTTTGTAATATAGTTTGAAAACAGGAAATATGATGCCTTCAGCTTTGTTCTTTTTTCTCAAGATTACTTTGGCTATTCAGGGTCTTTTGTGGTTCCATACAAATTTTAGGATTGTTTTTTTTTTCTTTTTTTAAAAAATATTTTATTTGTTTACTTGACAGATAGAAAGACAGCATGCACAGCGGGGGCGCAGGAGAGGGAGAAGCAGGCTCCCCACTGAGCAGAGAGCCCGACAAGCGGCCCGATCCCAGGACCCTGGGATCGTGACCCCAGCTGAAGGCAGACACCTAACCCACTGAGCCACCCAGGTGCCCCCCCTTTTTTTTTAATTAAGATTTTGTTTTTAAGTGATCTCCACACCCAACATGGGCTTGAACTCACAACCCCAAGATCGAGAGTCACTCATTCCACCGACTGAGCCGGCCAGTCACCCTAAGATTGTTTTTTTTTTTCCTATTTCTTTGAAAAATGCCATTGGAATTTTGATAGAAATTTTATTGACTCTGTAGCTTGCTTTGTGTTTTATGGATATTTTAACAAAATTATTTCTTCTAATCCATGAGCACTGAACAATTTTGCTTTTATTTATGTCTTCTTTAATTCCTTTGATTAATATTTTATGATTTTCAGTGTACTGATCCTTCACCTCCGTGGTTAAACTTATTCCTAGATATTTTATTCTTTTTGATATAAATGGTATTACTTTTCTTAATTTCTCTTTCTGATGGCTTGTTGTTATGTATAGAAATGCAACCGATTTTTGTATATTGTTTTTTACTGAATTCAGCTATTCTAATAGTTTTTGGTGGTGTCTTTTAGGTTTTCTATATATAGGATCATGTTATCTGCAACACAGATTTCCATCTTCCTTTCTGATTTGGATGGCTTTTATTTTCTTTCCTAATTGCTCTGCTAGGATTTCCAGTACTCTGTTGAATAAAGTGAGAAGAGTGGACATCCTTGTCTTGTTCCTGATCTTAGATCAGCAATAGTCTCAAAAGAAGTCTTCCTTAGGTTTTAACAAGTGTCAGAATAATTTTTTCTTTAACAGTGTGGCACATCAAACAGGAGCCTAAGACTCTTAAACCACCCTGATCCTGATGGTTGACCTTGTTGTTTGAAACATGACCTGATTTGAAAGTGCCTGCAGCGTTGGTGGACATTCCCTTCTGCCCTGGAAAAACCTCAGGATCTTGGGCCAGTACGAACCTTCCAAACTACGACCCCTGGGAACGCTGCCAGGAGCGCACCGTCCCCTAAGCCCTGTAGAGGGCGC